TATTCTTATCGTTCACACACAAGTTATTTTGTATTTGATTCGTTGTGGTTTATCCCTCTAAAGTAATATTTTGACGGTAATAGAAACTATTAGTTCTTTAAGTCTGGTAATTATATTAAATTATGTTAAATAGTACAGGATTAAGGTATACCACATTTGAAAGTACCCTCGTAGACAATTGGCAATAAATTCTTGTAAATTATGGAAAAGTTAGGCAAATTGCTTTGTTGTTGCTGTTTTTAAAGCATAAATGTTTTATAAATGCTTTTTGTACAACCAAAATCTTCGCCATATTTGAAATGTAAAATACATGAAGGTCAAAATTTAAAAAGAAATAATGTGATAATGGTCTGTAAACACCAGATACTAAATTATTGCTTATTAGTAAGAATAATTTAATCTAATGTTTCTTTTATTAATACATTTTTACTTTCTTACATAAAAATTTATTTTTATTTTTAACGGTTAATTGAATGTTTAGGGTGGGGGCGTGAAAAAATCGCCATAAAATAGTATAGACTTTGATATTAAAGTGAACTTTGCATCTGGGTTAAACGATAAGGTAATATATTTTCCTACTTTTTTGTCATGTCTCATAACTAAAGTATATTGCAAGACGCCATATCAACTGAAACGTTTATACATTTTTCTACGTTCATGCAAAAAACAAAACCTTATTGAACTATATTTAGTGAAAAAACTGGTTCTTTATTGCACTAGTGCAATAAAAATTTTATTGCACTCGTCTGTCATTTTACTACAGCGTTTTATGATCATGACAAACATAAAAAATATTAGTATTAAAAATTGTACAAATTGTACATTTACTTTTATTATTAGTGGCAAAAACAACGTTTAAGCTTAATTATTGTTCATAACACAGTTGTTCCTAAAGTTTTGGTTAAATTATTTTTCTTAACATAGTTATAGAGTACTTATTCAATGTTAATCGTTTATTATCCAAATGGTTAATGTGAGTATATCCGACTCCAAACGATACTGGCATATTCTAATTTTGACAAAACCAGCTGTGAGAAAAGTATTTTCATCGTTGAAAAGTCATGGAATAATCTCATGTTCCTTATAACAAAATCTAAAATTCGATAAGCAGAAGTAGTGGTTTTTTCAATGTGCGATGTAAACGTTAATTTTGGATCAAAGAAAACTCCAAGATCTTTAATCAGTTCTGGTCGAGTTAATGTAGAATTTTGTAGATTATAATTATATACTATTGATGTTTCCTTTCTAGTAAATGTCATTACATTACATTTTTTAACATTTAACGGTAACTTATTTGTTTTGCACCATTCGTTTAAGCGGTTAAGATTCTCTTGAAGCAATAGACAATCATTATAACTAGAGATTTCATAAAAAAAAATTAGGTCATCGGCAAACAATAGATTTGTGACGCTCAAATTACAAACAATATCATTAATAGAAAGCAGAAATAATAAAGGCCCTAAAACCGAGCCTTGCGGGACGCCATATGTTTGTTTGAAATTCATTAATGTATGCTCTAAGCACTGAACATAGAGGTAACGATCTGATAGATATGACTGTAAAACATTTAATAAGGAGTCATGAAATACAAGTGCTGAAAGTTTACTTATTAGAAGTTTGTGATCAATTCTATCGAATGCTTTAGAGAAATCAGTATAAATAACATCAACCTGACTTCATCTATCCAAAACTTCAGAAATACAATGAGTTAAACAGATTAGATTAGTTACAGTACAGCGACCAGCAATAAAACCATTTTGGATTGGACTAATGATTTGGCGAAACTGAAATGAAAGAAAAGTATGCACAAGTATTTCAAAAACTTTAGAGAAATTGTTCAGAATTGTGACAGGGCGATAGTTGGATATATCATTTTTGCTGCCATTTTTAAAGATTGGACTAACTCTAGCTAACTTCCACATCTCAGGAAATTGTTGAGTTTTAAAAATAAGGTTGAAAATAATAGTAAGAGGTTTGCAAAATACCTGTGCACAGTCTCTCACCAGAAATGCCGGAACATTATCCGATACTCAATGCTGGAAATGAAAATGGGTTCATTGAAGGACTAGAGGCTACATTTGCGTCACAAAGTAAGCTAAGTGATTATCATAGTGAAATGAATGAGAATTTTTTTAAATGGTTTGCAGAACAGTTACTGAAAAAACTTAATGAACCATTCTTAATCATAATGGACAATGCTTCATATCACAGTTCATTGATACATAAAACACGAAACTTAGCTGGACAAAGATTAAAATACAAGAGTGGCTGACAAATCAGAATATTAGATTTTCATTTGCTATGTTTAAAGCGGAACTTCTGAATCTTGTTGCACAGTCAGTAAAAGAAATCTGTTTCGTCTGTAATTTCTCAATTACTTTTTTTTAGAAACAAACCACCAAAATTTACATGGCTGATCTTCGAGCAGAACAATACGGACATAAAGTATTACGCCTCCCTCCTTATCATTGTATATTCAATCCAATTGATCTTATTTGGGGCATTACAAAGCAATATTACAATAGACATATTGGTCGAGGTGGTAAAAAAAGATTGTTTAAATAATGTGGTCGGAAGCACTCTGACAATACCACAAATTTGGAAAAAAGTATTAGCCAAGCAGAAAAAGAAATCTCAAAATGGTACGATAAAGAGCGAATAATTGATAGAATAAAAATTGCTCCAATTATTATTACATCAAACAGCGATGATAGTACAATTATGGTGATGATTTGGAGTTATTGAGTGAAATACACACTAAACAACGATTTACAGCTGCTTTTCTTTTCTGTAGCTACAATTGTCGGAACTTTCAAAGATTCCCCAATTATTTTCAAAATTTGGCAACGGTGTGAAGCTATGAGGGTCTAAAATTTATTATGTCATCGATGACGTACATTAGTTTTTATATTAGGCATTCCAACGACCTGTCCAAATGGCTACCAGTGGGTAATGACAGTTTAGATATGGCAACCCTGTTGTCATGCTGTCATTAACAGGGTCAATGATTCATATATAGTTATATAGATTGCTCAAAGCTGGTGGTTTACGAGCGGCCATATTGCCTGGCAAATATTTATTAATTTGAATTGGTTTAGCAAAAATGTGTTTTAAAACCAATTTTTAGCCTTTAGATATTTAAAAAAAAATAATTGCTTACATTTTTACTTCAAGGCATAAGCTTACGTTTATTTGGAAAAATATGGATGATCAATCTATGTAACTATCTATTTCATTGTCCTTGTCAAATCACCAGGCCTACAGAGTTGCCATAATTTTGCCATATCATAACCCGTCAAAACCCACTGGTAGCCATTCAGTTTGGAATGTCTAATTGTATGAAGTATATTACTCAATATTTATTGAAACTGGCATATATTGTTAGTCCAGGATCCGTATGTAAGGTCGACCTTCATCCATCTGTTTAATGGATAAAACTTTTTTTTATTAAATAAAATATGTTTTTAATATAGCTATCGCAAATGGGTTGCCTAAGAAAATACGGTCATGGCCAATAAGGAAAGTATAGGAATCATGATAAAAGTTGCATGATGTCATTCTCTATTATTTTGTCCCTATACATGATTTGCCTAAAATGGATCTAATTCGAGATATTTGAGGAAAAGTGCAAATTTCGAATTTTGAAGATAACTCAAAAACGAATCAAGAAAACATACCAAATTTTAAACTTTAATCCATCCTGTGGTGATCAGATTAAAGTTTGGGCATAGTCGAAGCATCTGGGGGAATATTTTACAGGGTGTCGTTTTTTTTTACTATAAGATATAAGATATAAATATACCTTCGGTATATTTATAAATACATTTTATTTAATAAAAAGAAACTTCCATCCATTAAACAGATGGGTGAAGGTCGACCTTACTTCGGATATTAGACCATGTAAAAATGCAGTGACATTTTATTTTAAATTTGTATCATGTGTTCCATAGTCGTTTATACATTTATCTAAGACCAAAAATGAGCTTTACATACAATTTTAAACAATGCGCAATGGAACAAAGCTTTTTAAAGGTATTATTTTAACACGCAAATGCGTTATTATAAACTGACTAAACAAAATTTCAAGGTAAATTTTTTGGAATAAAAATAGTTGCAGTCGATTTAAATTTAATTCACATACAAAACAATAAAACACAAAGGATTTGTATTACTGACCTTATAATTACTAGATATTAACTACCTCATAATAAATATAAAAATAGTGGATAAAAAAGTGTTTGATAAATAGCTTTGTGTGTATTGAATGCTTGGGCATTAGTCTTAGATTATTTTCTACATTTACAATTATTAAGGTAATTAGCAGAATTGAAAGGCTCAGTATTTGACAACTCAGTAGTTATTGAATGTAAAACTAAGCTTTTAATTAACAAGGATACCTTTGGCGCCAACGCACTGATGCTATCTCAAAAGTACAGAAAATAAACTCAGTGAAAAAAACACGTTCATGTTAACAAAATTTGAATATTCTGTATTTAAAAGAAAACAAAATTGTAAGTACCGAGTCCATAGATGTTAGAACATCAGAAGATACGCCACATAACTGAATTAAAACTCATAGTTAGAAATAGACTGAAGTAACATAAATACAAAGTTTGCAAATTGAATTACTTTTGACTTGAGAGAATTAGATATGAGAAACTAAAAAAAAAAACGAAAAAGAGGAAATTGACAAAGTTAATTAAAAAGGATTCAAGATCATTGTATCGCCAATGAATGTATAATATTACACTTTAACTTTGTAATTTTTAGAAAAAATCAATTAATAATTTGTTATTACTATGTTAATCCTATAGCACACGGTTTAAAGACAAAAATAGCTTTGACCTTCCATGAAAGCTGATCTAGCTATAATAAAAATGCGAATATTAAAACTGACTCTACATTATTATTTTCGTTTATGTTTATTATAACTAGTACTTATGGTAACTATGCGATTAGATAGAGACTTAAACTAAAATCAAAACCACACAAATCCTGACCTTTTTATTTTTCTGTAGCATAAATAATCCAATAAATATCACCAAATTTTCAGTATCACCAATTCCAAATACAAGAACTAATACAAAAGAAAGTCCAACGAATCTATTTCAATTAAATACATCGAATAGGTATTCTCTTTTGTCAGTCTTGCGTTTAACACTTTTTCGCGCCGATCGTTTAAAAATAGACTCTGTTAAATATACTGCGTTAAGTGAACCTTCTAAAATTAAATTCTACACTGTACTAAGACCCTAGTATGTTTTTCGAGCGTATATAACCCGCAATAATTTTGAAAAAACTGAAAATTGGAAGGAAAATTAAATCTCTGACGTCGGCAAAGCGATTCATGTTTTCAGAGACGGATCCAATACAATGTGAATTGGTTGTGAAATAACCTGCAGTCTACAGAATAATAGCAGTGATAATGGAGATAAACAGTAAAGTATAATTAATAGGCAACCAATCATTTATCATAAAGTATTTGTTCTCAAATTAAAAAATTTCAAAACTGTTCTGCTGGGCATAAACGATAAAGGAAATATTCCAAAAATGATTGGTAAAGTCAAATTATTACAAATAATTTCCCTAATTGCATCCATATTCTTATATTCTTCACACAGTAGTCTGCGTTTGGTTCCGTTCTTCCGACCGATGTCACTTTTTTATTCGCACGATAAATCAAAAACGAAAAACGATATCAGTTTGAAAATTTTAGGAAAAATCAAGCACTATAATGGGACGAAGTCTATTAGTATGAGAGCCCACTGCAAAATTCGACCGTCATCTGATAACGAAATGAAATATGCTGTAAAGGCATGTAACAACATTTTACTTTACCAAATTGCACCTGTGCCAATCCCTATCCTGAGCAAAGTGGTTAAAAAAAAATTATTTTGTATTCAAAAAATCACATAAAACATGACAGCGACAATTATGTTTTCCCTGAAAATTACAATCCTTATTCATTGTGAACCTAGCTTTTAAACCTGAATTATTAATATTTTTACCTTCACCTTTTAAACCATGTGTATGTATGAAAGGAAGAAGGATGGCATTGTATAAACCATTTGCAGAGACAGTCAATAATAATTATGAACTCTTGTTAGACAATTATTTTAAACCATAATCATAGTAGTTTTTTTGTCGTTTCTATGGCAACTTGTAAAAATGAATCACAACAATAGGCATACAAATAAATTTTTAAATCAGCAAACATTGATTTATATTTTTAATGATATTTACCTACTAATCGTGGATAAATATTTTTGGGCGATGTTAAGAGGAAGAAAATGTTTCCCTTTAACGGTATATATTAAGATATATTTGAATGTTATTTTCTTTAAGGGCAAACAAAATTAGCGCTGTCATGCCTCATGTGATTTTTTTAATATAAAATAATTTTTTTAAGCCACTTTGCTCAGGATTGGGATTGGCACAGGTGCCATTTGGTAAAGTACAATGTTTTTTCATGCTTTTGAGGTATATTTCATTTCGTTATCAGATGACGGTAAAAATTTGCAGTGGGCTCTTGGGCTATATTGATTTTGAAAAAAATCTAAATAAAATTGGGGGGGTTAAGGGGGTTGAAATCTTAAAAACAAAAAATGATAATAACTTCAAATTTTTTAGAAAAATCAAGCTCTATAAGAAGAAGAAAAAGAAGAAGCCCTATTATTTTGAAAAAATCTGTTTAAAAATGTGGGAGTTAAGAGAAGTTAAATTTAAAAAAAAAATCATAAATCAAAAAGAAAACCAATATCAATGAAAATATAAGAAGATAAAGTCTATTGATTTTGAATTAAAATAGGGGATTGAGGGGGGTTAAAATGTTTAAAAAAATCAAAAACAAAAAAGATATAATTTTGAAATTTTTAGCAAAAATCAAGTTCTATAAAAGAAAAATTCATTTGGCTTTCAAAAATCTGAATAAAAATGAGTGGTTGAAATAATGAAAAACATCCTAACCTACAAATAAAAATATGACATCAAATTGAAATATTCAGAAAAAATCAAGCTTTGTAAGGAGATGCAGTCTATTGAATCTGAATAAAAATAGGGGTCAATGGGGGTCTGTTAAACTGAAGAGTATAATATAGCATTATTTATTTTTTATTTATTTACTTATTTATAATTACATCACCAAAACAGCTAATGCCAATTACAGGGTGACGGGAAAATGTACAAAAAACAAAAATAAGTTAGAACATAAAAGTAAATATTTATACAAAAAAGCATCAAAATATGTTGTGCAAGTTACAGATATAGGCTTGAAAAAAAAAGCACAATGTGTGAAAAAAAAAGCGTATGTCTCTAAAAGATGCTTTACAATTTTACAATTTGAAAATTAAAATAAGTAGCTTTATAAAACAGTTATAAAAAAGGAAAATAAAATGTTAATTATTGTATGATACTAATTTTCATTAAAATTAAGAATTGATTTTTTTTTTTTTTTTGGGAAAGTCAAAATATATCTAGGCGATCCTCCAGATCGTGATAAACTTTGACCATTTGATGTATTGGTGAAGAAGATAGAGTGTTAGTCCTAGCAATTGATAGATACACAAATTCGTAGTCCTAGTCTAGGAACTCTAAGTGATATATATATTTCATTAGCTCAATGCAGTCCACTTTATTATGTAAAAGATTATATATGAAGAGCAATTGATGTGATGCCCTGTGATATTTTAGTTCCGTTAAATTAAATCTTGATAGCAACTTGCTATGTGGAAAACCTCTAGGAGGATATTGATCATCCAAAATGTACGAGGCCGACTTCATAAACCGTCCATGAATTTTTTCAAGGTTGTTAATATAAATATTATACATAGTGTTCCAAACTACACTGATTTATTCCAATCTAGATCTAACAAAATAAAGGTACAAAAGTTTCTAAGCTATTGAACTCTTTCCCATTTCTTATAACAAAACCAAGCATTTTGCTACCAGTCGATATATTTTTGTTTACATGTTTGGAAAACGTTAATTTTGAGTCAAGTATCACACCAAGATCATTAATACAATCAGTTCTATTAATTATTATGGTACCATCTAAACTGTAGTCGAATACTATTGGTCTTACCTTTTGGCTAAATGTCATAGCATTACACTTAGATGGATTCAAAGGCAAATTGTTTGATTCACACCACTCATTAACTCTTTCTAAAGATTTCTGGAGTTCTCTGCAATCATCAATTGAACGTATCTCTGCATATATTTTTAGATCATCAGCATACAGTAGGTACTGAGAATTATCTGATATTATATCATTAATGAAAATGTTAAAGAGAAGTGGTCCTAATATTGAACCTTGGAGTACACCGGACTTTTGTAAAAATGTAGCTGATTTGAAATCTTTATATTGAACAAACTGAAATCTTCCATTTAGATATGACTGAAAGAGAGAAATTAAATTTGGGGATAATCCATAAAAGATAAGTTTATTGACTAGTAAACTGTGATTGAGCTTATCAACGGCTTTACTAAAATCAGTGAATATAACATCTACTTGACTTTTTTGATCTAACTTTCCATTGATATATTGAGTATTACAAGTCAGGTTGGATACGGTAAATTTTTTATTTATGAAGCCATGCTGGTACGGCGATATTAGGCGAGACATATGGTATGATAATGAGCGGTGTAACAAAATTTCAAATACCTAAGTATTTTGGAAAAATTATTAATAATAGTAATCGGCCTATAGTTGTTAACATTACTAATAGTTCCTTTTTTTAAATATAGGCATAACACGTGACAGTTTCCAGAAATTTAGGAACGCAGCTGATTTTATTATAGGGTGCTAATGCATAAACACAATCTTTAATTATAAAGGCTGGAATTAAATCAGGTCCTATTGTCATAGATGACTTCAATTGTTTTATAGCATTTATGACTACGACCTCCGAGAAATTTTATATGTTTAAATTGGGAATATCAATATCTACTTTTTTACTTTCCTATCTGTATACAGATATAAGGAAAGTATAGGAATCATGATTTTTTAAACTTAAGCTTTATTCCAGCGTCTAATGAACTGATTAGATTTTGGGCAGAGTCGGAACATCTGGGGGGGTACTTTATAGGTGGTCATTTTTATATTTTATAAAATATATCTGTTATTTACGTTTGGAGAAGAAAATTCTTCAAATAAAAGTTACTTCTAATATAATTATCTATAATTTTTGTTTTATACAAAATTTTCCTAAAATAGTCCGTATTCGAGAAATTTGACAAAATGTAAAAAAATATTTTTTTTATAAAAATTGTTCAAATAAAAGTTGTTTGTAATATAATTCTCTATAATTTTTATTCTATACATAATTTCTCTAAAATGGACCGTATTCGAGATATTTGAGAAAATGTGTAAATTTCGAATTTTGAAGAAAACTCAAAAACGGATAAAGAAAAAAACATTAAATTTTAAACTTAAGTTTTATTTCTACCTGACGCGAAATGATTAGATTTTGGACATAGTCGGAACATCTGGGGGGGGGGGGGGGGGTACTTTATGAGAGGCCACTTTTATATTTTATGGAATATATCTGTTATTAATGTTTGAAGAAAAAAATTATTCAAATAAAAGTTACTTCTAATATTATTATCTATAATTTTTGTTTTATGTAAAAATTTCCTGAAATGGTCCGTATTCGAGAAATTTGACAAAATGTGCAAAATTCTGATTTTTATGAAAGTTTTTGAAATAAAAGTTGTTTGCGATATCGATCTCTATAATTTTTGTTTATACATGATTTTTCTAAAATGGACCGTAATGAAAAAATTGTAGAAAATTTAAATTTTTCAGTATTTTCGTTTTCCATGAATATCTATAGAAAAATGTTTCGAGGTAGATGTATGTGGACAATGTATATATTTAGTTTATCCTCTAAACATTTATAAAGATGCTGCAATAGGTTGTACAAAATAACCAGAAAAAGCCTATAATAACTAGATAGGAAAGTCATGTGTTGGACACATCAGATTTTTTTGGATAATACAGGGATTAGAGTCGGAGAAAGATTTGTAAAAATAATTATCAAAACTGTCTACTATTTGTTAGAGATCGTCAATAGTATTATCTTCATATATAATTTCAGTTGGTTTTGATGATTTACCTCTCTTTCCGTTTACGTATGACCAACATTTTTTAGGATTATTCTTCAGTTCATTTTCAATATTATTTAGGTAAAGTTGATGAGCAGCTTTTATATTGTGTTTTAATTGAGATCTTATAGTTTTAACACGTTGGTGACTATTGAGGCAACCACATTTTTTATAAACTCTATACGCCCTTTTCTTA